TTTTTTTTTGAGAAAGAGAGAGCCAACATCTACGGACTTGAATTTGGCACTGGATCCACACTGCATCTATTTTAATGCTCGCAATACACCACAACATCTGTCAGGTTTCCTCCTTCCAAATAGTCCATGACTACCCATAGATCACCAGCATCGACAAGATACGACCCTGGCAGCCGATTCTCAAAAAAACAAAAGCGAATCGTTACTAAGCATAACTCTTCTGATGGGGCAATCGTTCACTTGTTGCCAATCAGCGAACAGTTTTTAGTAGCCATTTTTCCAGAAACAGTCAAAGCTCTTTTTCCCTTTTCAAATGGCTGGAGACTAGTTTGAAGAGAAGTGTTAAGATACGAACTAGTAATTGTTGGGTAAAATTACGAAAAAAAACGCTGAAACATAATGAAAACAACAAATGTAGCTTCCTTTTGAACATTTCACAGGTATAATCAAGTGTTCGAACATTGTCCTTAACCATCAACAGCTGAAGTGCCTTCTAGATAGGTAAGCGAACAAGAACCTTTGCTTTCACGCATCCACTTATAGCGCCCTCTTTTCGCAAGATCCATTGCTTGGGACAAAAAAGTTCAAAGGTGAATCGAGGAATACTGGGGTTTACTTAATGCTGCCATTCAATCAGATAAAGCTGGTAACCTCTCACTTATGTGCTGTTCCTTGTTCCCAATCTAATCTATTACTCCACCATATGCTCAGTTTTCCATTGTATTCCAAAAGGTTCTCTAAAACGTTCCATGAATGAGTATACGCATAAAGCTTACCATGTTATTACTCATCTGAAATGTTCTATTGGTCAACATGCTAGAACTGCAGCAAACAACCCGCTCTTTTAAAGTTCGTGGACAAGCATTCACTTGCGTTAAACCTTTGCTCTCTCTCCCCTCCCAAAAAAGCTCCATTATGGCCAAGAATAGACGACCAGACATCCTAATCGTAACTGTGTTGGCTTCCTGACGATTCATGGCATCCGACAGATCCCATTGCGCCACTAGAATCTCTCTTCAAAGACTTCTTGGCGTCATGAGGCGTTTCAATATAATTTCGCAGCTTCGTTTCGTTAAACAAGAAAGAAAAGGTATACGAATATGCAATGCATTTTTAAAACAAAAATTTGCTCGAACATAAAAATCATGATTTACTCTTTAGCCTCGACCCTAAATCAATTCAAATTCAATTTGAAAGTTGAGAAATAAAAGGCAAATCATAATATAAGTCTTGCTGTCCTTCATACAGCAGCGTTGAATTAAAATAAAAGAGAGTAGAAAAAGAGAAA